GGAACATGCGTGTTTTTAAAGACAAAACTACACCCACCCACTGGGGGGGGGGGGGGGGGGAATTATAAAAATGTACCTGTAATGGGGTGTACGGAAAATACTCTTTCTTTGTCACTGAAGATGCTGTATTTTATGTTTTCTCCTGTAAATTTGCGTTCATAAGCTTCTACGGTTAGAAGTGATGTACCTATGGAAGCAATGCAACATTTTCATCACATCCACTTTAGAAGGTTTTATTCTAATTTTGTATTACTGTGATTTAACAGCAGGTGCACAGCCAAACATCCATCTATTAGGCTAGATGTTTATTCATTTATTACAGTTGTAGACAATAAAACCAACTCTTCTATGACTTTCACTGCATTACAACTTCACAGACAAGGCACTGCCTATCCCTCCTTGTCCAGAAAATTACTCATCTGATCACAGCTTCATCATCTGTCTAAATAAAATGATGAGCTTTAACTTTTCCTAACTGCAAAACTTTCCTAATTTTTTGCACCACAGGAATTGCCTCTTACCTGAAATCACATGTATTCCTTTTATTCAGGTTATGCCGACCATGGTAATTTAAATCCCACTTTTTCACTCCTTTAGGAAAACTAGTCCTTTTTTTTTTATGCAGCATAGGAATGCATGTTACCCCTGAATCACCATAATTATTTTTTTCAAGTGAGTTATGAACTTTTTTAGCATATATGGTAATTTCTTTTAATGGATTTCAATGATATAATTTAATTGTAATTGATTTCATACAACTGTGATAGAGTGAGGCTACTGTGCAACCTGCACCCTTCCAAACAGCATTACAGATAACTAGCTATTTTATTACATTACAAAGGGCATGCTGTTCACACTCAGTGTCCTGGATGTCAGAGGCAAGGACCTGTATCTTTAGTGTAAAAATGAGAGGGAGGAAACATTGCTCTTACAACTGTTCACTACCTTTTTTATTTTATCATTGCTACTTAATAATCTTTAAACACAAGAAATTTTGTTTTAAGTGGTTTGTCATTTGCTCCCAAAATCTGACTATCAAAAGTAAAACCATGCCAATTTTAACATATAATTTTCTGTACCGGTCAGTATATTTATAAGATATTTGTAAAAAACGTTCTGAAAGTAAAATAACTATACAATAGTTAGACTGATATGAAAGCTGCACTGCTGCTGGTTTTTTAGGAACTAAAATAGGGGGTTGTAGGTTGAATTTACATTGCTGTGGAACTTTGATGTACTACAAAAGCCTGTAAGTGTAATTGTTCATAGCATCCTCAGAGCAGAATTGAAGATAAGAAGTTCAAGTTTCAAAGAATGTCAGTATTTATCTTCTAATGCTTTCAACAGTCTTTCTATTTGTTTGCTTGCGTGTTTAAGAAGAAACACTACCAGAGACAAAGGAAGCAGCACCATTTCTTCTTGAATTCCTGTTTTTCAGGGGTTAGGTTAATCAATTGTTGCTCTAGGTCCTCAAATCCTAATCCTTTACATTTCCTGTTTTTCAGGTAGTTAAAATTGTTTACAATTCTTGGCTTGGCAGAGAACAGATTTCTCTGTTTCTGATACCTTTCACAGAAAATGACTCCTTCAAAGAGAGAATTTTTCTATGGTTCATTGTCAAAAAAATATGACCCAACTGTGAGGTCTGTTGTAACACAAACAGGCCCCATACAAGCAAATAGCAAAAGACAGTACCCATCTGTTGGAGCTTGCAATGTCAAGTACATGACTCAAATACTGCTTCAAGCAGAGGTCACAAAATACAACACTTAACCTGAAGAAAATTAGGAGGAAAGTAGCTTTCTTGCTGCAAAGAAATGACACAATGAGGATAAGATCAACACCGAAGCTAGTGCAAGGAAAAAGGAAGATCAGGATCATAGCAGAATGCAGTCAGATTGGCTTGAAACACTAAGCAATTGACTTCTGAAGCAGTTAAGAATGCTAAAGGAAGTGAAGAGTGATTTAAAATGTTTATATTCAGGGGTTGGTTTGTTTTTTTCAATTCAATCACAGACAGCCTAACTGCATTTGAAAGTATCTCAAACTGCTTTAAATAGCCTAACACCAACCTTTGAATTAAGCCTGCCGAGTTGAAACTGAAGCATGGCAGCACAGACAGTTTTTGCCTACCTGGCCAAGCAGGCTCAAAAACATTGCTCTACTCTGTGTTAGGCCATAACAGTTACACTAGAACTGAGATAATGTATCACTATCTCATTTTCTTTCTTCTCTCTTCAGTACCCATTATGGTAGTCTCTTTTCTCCTTCGCTATCTAATCCTGGTACATCCTTGTCATTATATTCCTTCAGACCTCTTAATTGCTCATGAAAGGAAAAGCTAACTGAGCACAAAGAGTAAGAGATTATTTATGGAGAGGCTACGTATTTGATATCTATTAGAAAAAAATAGAGGAGTTAGTTAAGTTTTACTGGTGAATTTGTCTCCAACAAAGCTCTATACATACAACCGTTCAAGTGAAAGTTTGGAGAACGGTAAAGGTTTCTTACCCTCTGGAGACTGCAGTGACTTGATTATTTATTGACTGGCTTCTAAGTACCTGTTGTAATGTAGTTTATAATATTTAAAGACATTAAATATCCAATGATAAACAAAAAGTAGAAGAATGTGGTTTTCTGAAGGTCGGACTTTGAGGTCAAACACTTAAAGAAAATCTGACCACAAGGACCAGTTCCTGAGGCACTCACACAGTTGATGAGTCCAGACTAAATTAAGACTAAGGACCCTTGGCTTTGACTTTTGTTGATTATACTATTCAGATTTTTGATTCTTTTAAAAATAAACTTTCTACTTTAACTCTATTAGTTAAGGTAGAAAAATAAAATTAGAAGGAAAAGTCACATTTATTTATACCAGGTCTACAAATAACCAGTGTGCAAGGTAAATCTCCCCTGGACTGAATACACTGGTACCATTCATATTTATAGGGGTCCCAGGATCACATATATTCTATAAGCTAACCTCTATGAGAGTTTTAATCTATGAGAGTGTGTGGTGTCCCTGCTCATGGCAGGGGGGTTGGAACTAGATGATCTTAAGGTCCTTTCCAACCCTAACTAATCTATGATTCTACGATCTATGATCTATGATATTCACACTTTTTCCCCTGAAATGTAAAATATTTTATATTTATTTATGCTTACATAAATAAGAAAGCACTAAAAAAAACAGTCCAAAAATTATTAGTATTTGGTAAAATCTCTCATACTCTTAAAAGTATTTGATCTTCTTAGCAAATAAATTTTCATTAAATATACAAACTAACATTTCTGGGATGAAACCCTCTTGTTTACCCTGTAGCTTTACTCAATTTCCTTTAATGAAAACGTCTTAAATTGGGTATTATTTATATTTTCTACAGATTGAATGGGACATGGCATGTGACTATGGCATTCTGATACCACAGTTCCTTGGGGCATTTCCATAATTCCAGGGTGGATTCTCTAGCCTGACCTCAGATTTTATCTGCACTTCATTTATGATCAAATCAGTTTATCTATTGCCATAAAGCCCTGATTTTAATTTTCTTTCTTTAAACCTAACAAAACCTATCTTCCCTCTTACTATTTTTTCCTTAACTAGAAAGAAATTTCAATGCAGGATTAATGCAGGTTAATCCCATCTCTCCTGAAAATACTGAAACCCTAGGACCTCAACTTTACTCCTCTGGGAAGCCTGACAAACAGGTTCTTAGGATGCTTTCTGAAAATACAAGCTGCTGCAGCAAGGGAGAGACAAAATTGAGACCCTGAAGCTCACCTCTGGAACACCCCGTTTTTTCTGCTTTCTGGACATCTAGGATGGAGAGCCCCATACATCACCACAATTGACTCTCAATGGGTTTCATCAGTGAAAATACAGAAAATGAGAGATTTAACATACATTGCTGTGGCATCCAAACTGTAGCTTCTGGAAGCAGCAGCTCCCTCAGGGCAGAATCTCATTTGCAAAGTGACATACAATTAAATACTGTACAGTGCTGACTTTAGCAAAACAGGGCTTTCAGGCCTTGGGTTATCTGTGACTCACATTCACAAAAAAAAATATTCAGTTTTAGGGTGCCTAAAACTACTTATAAATCCTGGTCAAATTAATGGAATAAAAGCTTTTTTTTTTTTTTTTTTTTTTATTGTCAGGACAAATGTGTTTAGTGATTTTCTTTTCATTTGGTCTTTGCATTTGTAATAGAAGCAATAAATGAAGCACACTGAAGAATTTATTCTGCAGATTCCCTACTCAAAGGGTTCAGTATGGAGTGAAAGGGAAATAAATGCTCTTCCACCTAAAAAGACCTGAGCCTATACCTTTCATATTTCAGTAGAGTGTTTTAACCACCAGTGTACGGCATGGTCTACTCTTTCCTGTTGGAAGTCTTCTGCTTTTTCCAAAAAGCCCATGTTTTTTAACAAGCAGTGAGAGAGCTAGAAGGATGCTTTAGTTTTGTGGTTTGATCGCTCACCACAACTTTTTCGAGATAGCCTGAAACCAAAATATTTCATCTATAGTTAAAAAGAAAACTAAATCAAACAAACAAAAGTCACATAATTAAAAAAAAAAAAAGAAATCACCTTATTGCCTATTTTTGATGTGTTAATGGAAACAATAGTAATACTCTCAGCATTGTCTTTACCTTAAAATACACTGATGAAAATTAGCCTTTTAGTCCCAACAGGCAGAGAGGAAGGAATAGCTGAGTAACCACAGCAGTAATTACTGCAACAGCAGTCTTCACCCTTCATCCTTTTTTCTGTTTATCCAAGAATATTGATTGGTTTTCCAAAATTATTAACATATTTCTTTTTTACTGATTCCTAATCAAGTATGTAAGCTGTTACTGAAGATCTAAGAATTCACTAGTCTCACAATACCCTTATGATATAAAGGAATATTGCTTTTGTTTTACTAAGGGAAATTTGAACTATAAAAAGGATAAATGACTTGTTCAAGGTCAGCCTCATGAGGCAGTGTTTAAATCAAGAATATAGTTCAGGTCAGACCTCTAAATACATCTGGTCAATTGTACAGTGGGATTTGTGGGCAGGAAAATGTAAAAGGTGCTCCTTTCTGCTCCTTATTAGGATGAAGCAGGAAAAAGTACTTACCAGATCTAATTGGCAGGACACATAACTACTAATATTCTCCAAATGATAGAAAGTAGAGCAGTAATTCTTATCATTATATGGGGCAAAAAAAAAAAAGTCTGTAAGCACCTTGTGATTAAAGCTGGTTTGTCTATAGGTAGCTTTCAACAGAGCAGACTCTACCTAGAGATACACTGTAGAAGCCTGACCAAGTGACAATGTCCCACAGCCTCCAAACTCTTCTCCCATTCACCCCTCATACCCCCCATTCTCCTACTTCTGGAAAGTCCAAAATTTCAGTAAGGTTTTAGAGTATCTCTGAAAGCTACTACCATTCATGAAGGGTTTTCCAAAACCAAGAAATGTCATATTGCGCCTGGTACACACCATTCATCTCATCTGAGCTTCTATCCATTGAGAAGCAAAACACTGAGATCATTAAAGTAATTTTGATTAAAAAAGTGAACCCTGTGATGTTCAGGGCATTCCAGGCTGAGGGGTGGAAACACACCACCTTTGACAAGGGAGCTTCTGTTTAATGTGGGCATCGCTGCTGTAGGTGGGCAGCAAAATCAAGAGCCAAACAATGCCTCCAACTTCTTTTTCATGCTTGTGCTCTGGAAAAGGGCAGACAGGTATTTGCTACATCCAAATTAACTTTTCCCTGATGTTGCACAAGGAAAAGGCTTTCCTATACTATTCATTACAATTATGATTCCAAAATGAGGGGAGATGGGCAACTGCAAGAACACAAATTGGGATTTGATGCCAACCTGCTGCACTGTTCTCAGGCATGCTTGCTTCATACAGGCTATGGCTGAATGAAATCTCCTCCTCTTGTTCTTCCGTAAAGATAATGACCATAGCTGTGGCTGTTCGAGGTGAGATACCTTGATCTGAAGCCATTACTACCAGCTGGGTACTGAAGCCCTTGGAAGCCAAGGGCTCCTGAAGAATGATGTCACCGGTCTTCACATCAATCTGAAATACTGTTTCTGCTATCATCAAACTAAAAACAACAGCTCCGTTTGACCCCAGATCCATGTCTTCTGCTCTCACAGTGGCTACTGTCTCATTCACAGGGGTTTCAGCAGGCACAAAGGACCTGACAGGATTCTGCAAAAAAATGGGATCATTGTCATTGACATCATCAACGTGCACCACAACACTGACAGTGGTGCTTCTTGGCAAATGTGTGCTACAGTCACTTGCCACAACCCTAAATGTGTACTGGGATTTGGTCTCCCGGTCCAATGCCTTCGTAGTAACTAGAGACCCAGTATCACTGTCGATCGCAAACGCTCCAAAGGTGTCATCGATGAGGGAGTATGTAACTTTGCCATTCAGGCCATCATCTTCATCAGAAGCAGAGAGGTCCAGGATGGCTGAGCCTTCCTCTAGGTCTTCTCTCACAGAAATTTGATACTGGGTCTTTGCAAACAACGGGTTGTGGTCATTTTCATCCAAGACTGTTATATAGATCTGTGCAGTGGAGCTTCTTGAGGGACTGCCTAGGTCACGGCATTCAATTACAAGAGTGAAACTGCTGATGTCTTCTCTGTCCAAACTACGAGTGACCAGGAGTTTTCCTGAAGTGACATTTACTGTGAAGTATTCTCCAACATTTCCACCTTTCAAACACATAAAAAATAAAATTATCACAGACAATTGTTTTTGAAAAAGAATCCCTTATGAGTACCACTATGTTAATTGCAATAACATGATCCAATTGCTCATACAGCTGGTGCACTCATGTGCCCTTCACATATTTTATTCCCCTTACACGAATTAAAACCTGCATTTCATTTAAATCAGTGGATGGCAATGACAGTAAATACAGAATGTCATATCAATTTATAGAATGGCTATTTTGCCAGATGCATGTCTTTTTATAAGGCATGCTGCTTTGAGAAAAAATCTCCTGCAACTACACTGCTGCATAAAGCGACCTCTTTCCAACCTTAGTTACAAATTCCAGACACCTATAAAGCATTGCTGACAGTTGTAATTACTTGCTCCTTGTTCTCTTCTACAAACCTGTCTCTTGGAAGTGAATAGTTGCACAAGGGCTTGATTTGAGGGACGTGGGACGGGGAGGTAAATAGAAATAATAATA